ACGGTAGATTCGCCGAATTCACAGCTCATCAGTGCTGATCGGAAGAGCGAAGCAAATTGTAACAACGAAAAAAAAGGGACAATTAATGAAACTGAAATATGACTTAGGATAGTCATGGTATGTGCGGGGCTAAGAAATGACTTTTGCATCTCCCTGTACATTATTTGAAGGTGTCAGTTGTGAAATAGGCGGAAACTTGAAATATCAAACCTGAGAGTTTTTTTAGGTAGCTATCCAAGTGACTTTGGCTAGAACTCGTTCTAGGAGACTGGGGTGGTGGAACCTGTCCAGCGAGGGTCACATCTTCCAAGGGGATGTTACCGTTCAGCTCCCGAGTGCAACCGTTATCTACTGTGTCCGAGAGCTGCGTAGTAAGGGTGGTGGTCGAAGGCGGACACAGTACTTCTCTCCGGCCACCATCTATGCCATTTAATGTCATCTTGGTCACTGCTACGTTCTAAAAATACGATAAAACACAACAGTTACCTTGGTCACTGTTACATTATGATAAAAACATATTAGACTGTCATTCTGCTGCATTCTGCATCACCTAGGCCCCTGTTACATTCAGCATTTTCAGGCGCCTGTTGGAATTTTGTATTGAGAAATAATGACATTCCATTATTTATAAGCCACGGAAAGGTAAATAATTAACTTTAACATGTTTCCTTGAGTGTTTCCTTACGTTACTGATGTGATTGTCTTTAAAGTTAATGTTATAAACGTCGTAGATTGTCACTCGTATAAACATAAAAATTACCGTATAATTAGCCAATAGGAATATTGGGTTTCTAGGAGAGCTAGCACGCATACACGCAAGGACTGACTGACACACATTGTTTTTAATTACAAAGATGCATGATGCATACAATAGTTAATGTTGCAGAAACTTAAGTGATTCTCTAGAAATGATATACACGACAGTTTTCTACTGTACTTAATAACAAAAATACGCGAGTTCGTATAAATTAAGAAAAATAACTCATTTAGATGTGCTGATTTCTCTACGAAAGTGAAGTCACTCGAACGTGTCAAGGAAGTTAAAATGTCCAGAAACCAAACCGTTGTAGTTATTCAAATGGTAACAACATAAATCACAACTTACACAATTCTTTACTGTACTGACGGTGGTGAAAAATAATGGAGAACCCCAAACAAAGCACTTTGCCCAGCTTGTTTTGTTTGGAGAGTACAAAACGCTGTAAGTGGTGTAATAGTGTGGGTATGGTCCTCGTGACAAGGATTGTTCTTGTTGTTTTTTTGGGGGGGGGTCTATACAGGCAAACAATATCCAGAACGTTTCTATTAAACATTATTGACGATTAAGTCCAACCGAAAATGGTGATTTTTCACCCTAATCACTTGGGTTTATTTTAAGATAACCCATCGCCCGTATTGTTCTAAAATAAGTAGAATAACATATAAGTGACATCATTAAAATTCCTTGGAAAGCAGAATTAAAGGATCTCAACTTATGCACTTTTGGGATGAGGTTAAATATCGCATTCGCTATCTCTTCTCACTAACACAGCAGACAACCTTCTTCGATGAGTGGGCTTCACTCGAACAGTTCGCTTTCAAGCACCTTTTACAGCTTACGTCGAAACAAAATTATTGTCATAGCAAAAGGTAATAATCCAGTAATTAGCCAGAATCTTAGTAAAGTGGTCAGTCTGTGCACAGTACATATACACAACAGAAAAACGTTTGTTTATTTGTAGTTAAGCACAAAGCTACACAATAGGCTATCTGTGCTCTAGCCACCACGAGTGTCAAAACCCGGTTTCTATCGTAGTAAGTACGCAGACTGATGGCATAGAAAAGCGTGTAATTACATTATTCCATAACAAACTCAAATCTATTTAAACACGGCGATTGACTTATCAATTAAAATCCCATACGAATCGTTACATCGCATTACAATAAAAGCAAACACGATTAAACGACCTGATTCTGGTTTTCCAAAAAAAAAAGACAATAACTAATCGTATGTAATAAAAAATGAAAAAATATATAGTTATTTATATAATGGAACACAGACATTAGGGGAGGAGGTGATAAGAGGGAAGGACATTAATATTTAAAACTATAACTGAACGTAGAAACAGAACGTCCGTAACAAGACAAAAGCCTACTACAATGTACTTAAAAATGTATTGTAGACTCCTATACAGAGTAGTTAATGTAGTACCCCGGAAATTTGACGAGCGTAATTTCATGCAACGCGTGAAAAACAAAAGCCAGATAAACACCTAAGTGTGAGAGACTTTGAAATTATCCGATTTCAAGAGATGCTTGAAAAACGGAACCATTGTTAACACCTACTTACTGATCTTTACAAACACTCTAGGTAAACTAATTTAGCAGAAACACCGGAAGTGCTTCACAGCTGACACTTTCAGTTTTCTTAATAACATTTTAGGACCACTTAGGGACATTTCATTCGCTTCTTCAGCACATTTTCTAAACTAGCGTTTTTAACAATGTGCTATAATACTAGCTTCAATAATTAACATGTTCTGTTGTTGGAATATTTTCTACTATATATTTCTAACAATGTGATACAATACTGGCTTCAATAATTAACGTTCTGTTGTTGGAATATTTTCTATCATATGTTTTATAACAATGTGATACAATACTGGCTTCAATAATTAACATGTTCTGTTGTTGGAATATTTTCTATCATATGTTTCTAACAATGTGATACAATACTGGCTTCAATAATTAACATGTTCTGTTGTTGGAATATTTTCTACCACATGTTTTTAACAATGTGATACATTACTAGCTTTAATAATTAACATGTTCTGTTGTTGGAATATTTTCTACAACAAGTTTCTAACAATATGATACAATACTAGCTTCAATAATTAACATGTTCTGTTGTTGGAATATTTTCTATCATATGTTTCTAACAATGTGATACAATACTGGCTTCAATAATT